AAAAGCTTTGTTTATCATTTACTCAAAATGGTAAATTAATCTCAGAAGGTCATTTTCCTAGCTCACACCCCATATATCATTTTTATAATATATATTATTAATTATAAGTTTAATTAATTTATTTTTATTTTTTAGCTTTTAAAAATGAATTCAATGGATGAATCAGAATATAGTTAACAAAATAGTCCAAATAATTCTAAGATTGAAATTGATTCCTCACAAACTTCACCAAAATTATCTTTGGTAAAAGTTAATGAGGTTTGAAAACATTTTATTAAAGATGTTAATTATAAAACAAACAAAAAGACCATATATAAATATTGCAATACATCTTATATTTGTACTGGAGGAAATACTTTAAATATATCAAAATATTTAAATAAGTTTTATAATACAAAAATAAGAATCAAACCAATCAAACCAATTTTAAAAGATTTAACAATTTCAGAAATGTTTAATAAATTTAAAGTAATTATTATTTTTTTTTTAATTATTATTAAATATTATTATTTTTTAAATTTATTTCTAATAAATTTTTTTTATATATATAATTAATTAGTGGTCATATAGTAACAGTAAAATAAAAAAAAACTTATAAAATGGATTATTATTCATCAACATCTATTTACTATTGTAAAAAAAATTCTTTTATTGAATTAATAAATTCACTTTGTTCTAATGCTAAGATCCTTTCTGCCGATACTATAAAAAGAAATATTATGAATATTTATGAAATAAATTCAAAAAATATACAAGTCATTCTGCAAGAACTTTCCAGAAAAATTTCTTTTACTATTGATACTTGGACATCTCCTTCAACAAAATCATTTTTATCTATAACTATTCATTTTATTGATATTAATTGGAAATTACAAAATACTTTAATTGATTTTATACAAATTAATGATTCACATTTGGGAGAGAATATAAAAGATACATTTGTTTTAGGATTAGAAAATTTATCAATTGGAAATAAAGTAAATTTTTATTTTATTAATTTGATTTGTTTTAATTAATTATAAATTTAAACTAATATTTAATATTTATTTTATAATAGTTAATGAGTATTACATTAGATAACGCTAAAAATAATGATAAATTTATTTATTTATTAGAAAATTGGGTAAATCAAAAAGAATTTTTTTTAAAAAAGAATTTGGATATTTTAGATGTTTTGCACATATAATTAATTTAAGTGTACAAGAAGCATTAAGTTGTTTAAATGATAAATTAATTCAGATTAATTTTTTATTTATAAAAAAAAGTTTTTTTTTAATATATATAGTTAAATAAATTAAAATTTTTAAAATTTTTAATTTTATAGCTTAAACAACTTATTATAAAAATTCGTTGTTCTCTTCAACAACTTGAAAAATTAAGTAATACATGTAAATCTAATGAAATTAGTGATTTAAAACCAATTTTAGATGTACCAATTAGATGGAATTCAACTTATGATATGATAATAAGAGCTTTAATTTTAAAAGATATAAGTATTTATTAATAATATTTTATAATAATTTTATATTATAATTATTTATTTTAGGCTCTTGAATCAGTTGTATGGTTTAATAAAAATAATTTAACATTTAATTAGTAATATTATATTTAATCGAAATAATCACATCAAAATATCTAATGCTAATTAATAATCAGTCTTTTGTTATAAAAAAAAAAGAAATTAATGGAGAAAAAAAAGGTAATATAATTATTATTTTGATATGGATCATTTATTTACTTTAATCTTAAAATAATGTAATATATCAACTTATATTTTTTTCCTCCATTTATTGAAACAGGCCCAAATAATTCTTCCAAAATATAACTAAATTAATTGATACTATTTTTTCTCTAGCTAAAACTTTAAAGCTTTTCTATAGTAAATTTGTTATTTTAGAAACTTCAAAATGAAAATATAGTAATCCGATCTAAAATTTAAAATGTTTTAAAAAATAAGTTAATTCTTAAAAATTAACTTGAAATAATCTGTGTATGTTAACTTGGTTTTAACTTTAATATATATGATGATCTTCGGACGAGTTTGTTAACTTTTCTTTTGATATGAGGATCTGTAGAATACTCAAAATGGTTAACATAACAATAAGGATTTTGATTTAGTTAATTTCAAAAGAATAGTCAAAAATATAATAACCTTGTCCTCATCCAATAACCATAGGGTTTCTTTATTAATGTCATCCACCGAGATAACGAAAATTGACTTTTATTAAAGACTTCTCAAAATTCTGTCTCTTTGTTAATTCTTTGTCCGACTCTTCAACACTTGGTAAATTATTGTAGCTTTCTGCACGTAACTTATTTATTTCTCAAGAGTTTGGGGGGAGATAGCCATTTTTAGAGCACCATAACCACAAATTTTCACTTTTTTTAAATTTTAAAAAAGTTCCAAGTTTTTATATTCATATTAGATCTGCTACCCTGCGTTTCACGAATCTTGAGGATTATTTCTGATTAATAACATCAAAGTTTGCGCTTTATAGAATTTTGTTTTCATGTTCGTTTAGATTCCTTTGATGTTTCTTCATAATCCGAAACCGACGAAATATCATTTTCTGAACTTTTGTTGTCATATAAAATTGATGGTGATGAAGGTGGTGATTCCTCATAATCAGAACCCGACGAGATATTATTATCTGAACTTTCATTTTCAGAAAAACTGGATGGTGATGAGGATGATGTTTCTCCTGGACTTGGACATTCAGTATCTGTTCTAGACAGATGTTGTATGTAGGAGTAGCACTGGAAGATTG